ATTGTGCCTTGCAGAATATTCCACCTAAGGAGACTTTCTGCTGGGCCTTTTGCAACCGGACGCGCCTATCTTGTATTGGCCTTTTTAGCCACCAACATGCTTGTAACAGATGTGGGTCGAGCCCTCCCCAAATCTTCATTCGTGAAGCCCAGCCATGATGATGATGATGTTTTGAGAAATATCCTAGCAATACTTTTATTGCACTGCTATTTCAAATAGCATCATTTGCTACTTTGACCACTGTGTGCACGTGATCAGCAGCATTACTTTCCTTATATTTCAATTCCCCGCAAGTATTAAGTCAGCACTACTGCTAAAAGTCTCCTGTTCACCTTTGGCATCTGCCCATCCATTTCCATACATTTTCCCTCCTCCTTGTGCTATCAACCATCTATGTAGCTGCAAGGGCAGCCCAGATAAAGGAGCCAGGCTGGAGCAAAGCTAGCCATCCAAACCAAACTGTGGGCTAGCACAGCCTCATTTTCTCCATGCTGCTGACGCTGGTGTGCAACCCAGGAAGGAAACTTCTCTACAAAGTAGCAAGCAAATTCTGGCGAGTCAGTGTGCTTGGACAGCTCAGTTCAAAGTTTACCAGCACCACAATAGCACCAAGGAATCACACCTGAAAGACCTTTCACAAGAACAGATACATCTAAAGAAGCTTTTTCAGATAGGCTTCTTGATTCTATAACAGAAACTGCTTTTACTCCAAAGGAAGAAAACACCCAAACCAGCCAGTCCATAGAGATGGGGATTCAGTATGTACCTAGAACTCGTACAACAGATCAAAGCAGAGCCCAAAACTAAGGACATAACCCTCATACAGGTAAGCAACATGTCTGGTTACAGAAGGATGGCTCCTGAAGGGGAATGATACACAAGCCGAAAGAGTTAAGAAGCCACTAATCTACATCAGGATCTGGAACATGACAAACCTGAATCTCTCACATCATGTAGCTGTGTACCCCATGACTGATCAATGGATTATTCCATCAGTCTCATTCTTTCTTACGCAAGAAAATTTTTTTCATACTTCTAATGCTGTCAAGGGAGCGAGCCTGGTCACAGGCTGTACTGAAAGCCACATGCTGCTTATCGGCTTTCTAGGCAACTGAGGAAACCAAGCTACTCAAATATAAGGCCTGGCAAAGTACAAACCCTTGAATCAAGAATTCGAGAATCGTTTTCCTCTTCTCACTGGGAGTTCCTGAAACTAAGAATAATAATAAAAAACCCAAAACAAGCATGAGTTTGTCCCCTAGGTACTTGTTATAAAATAGCCTACGGTACCCTCCTGCTGTCACAGTACACAAACTGTAGGACATTATGATGTGCTTCTGACAGCACGTGAAGAAGAAAGCACCACCTCTGTAGCATAAGAAAGGAACAAAAACACAAGCAGACCAAGTGACAGATAAAGAAGCATGGTTCCTTGCTGGAGCAGAAATCAAAACACACACCACCTCCAATCTACCTTAGGTGTTTTTTCTTCCCCATCAAATATTTTTCAAACAGCCATAAGGGAAAAGAACGTAGGGGGCTTTGACTGCTTTTCCAAACCTAAAATATCCCAATGTGTGAGATAACAATGGCTCTAAGGCTGAAATCTGAAAGCACTCTTCACCACACTTCATATTGACCTGTAGTTCGCAGACAGTGAACCTGAAAGCAGTTAAACCTTTTTGAGAATTCTGGCTGAACTGTTCAGAGCATTCAGTTACAAACTATCTGAGCTTGGACATTACAGGAGTATAACCAAACCAAACACCAGTAGGTAGTTTTTGATACATAATCTGAACAACCAACCTTGCATAACAAACTTTCCAAGCTTACAGCATTACAACAAGCATGAAGTACTTTTCTAACCCATTAGAGAAGCTGGGCAGTATTTTCTAACACACTCTCCAAGCCAGCCTTTAAGAGTGCTTGGCCTACAGAGCAATAGAGCCACACATCTCTGTGGGTCCATACCAGGCATGTAATTAACAGTTACCGCTTGCTGATGGATAGGCAAACTGGATGTCTTGAGGAATAAAAGGATTCCACTGACAGAAGAAATGTTTTCAGCTGATAACTCACTATTCTTCTTGCCTCCCATAAGCCAAACGCTATCGTGAATAAGTTAGCCACAATTATTCATTGCCTGTTTGTTATTGCCAGCTGTATGTAAACATTGCAAAGAATACTTAAAATTATTTTTCTATATTCAGTATTTCCTATAATAACTGTAATATATTTAAAACAACTGTTCAGAAGGATGAATCTAATGACAAATTGTTTAAATATCTGTTCTTTCTTCACTGGAAATCTTGGGTATGAGAGCTTTTTCACTATATTCCAGTGGACAGTTGCACATGCTGTGGATGCCACAGTGCTTTCCAGAACCCAAAACCTCAATACCAAGCGTTACATAATTAGTACACAGCGCGCTTCAAAGTCAAGGTCACAAATAATTAATGACACATTCTGAATGCAAATCACAGAATCAGAGATGCCTCATAACACACAAGAGTGGTGACGAGAGAAGCTGGGACCATCCCAAAAGATGGTCCAGTTACATTTACAGAATCACAGAGTCGTCAGGGTTGGAAGGGACCTCTGCAGATCATCTAGTCCAAACCCCCTGACAACGCAGGGTCACCTGGAGCAGGTGACAAAAATGCATGCAGGTGAGTTTGGAATATCTACAGAGAGAGAGACTCCACAACCTCTCTGGGTAGCCTGTTCCAGTGCTCTACCACCTTCAACATAAAAAAGTTCTTTATCATGTTGAGGTGAAACTTCTTGTGTTTTAGTTTACGGCTATTGCTCCTCATCCTACTGCTGGGCACCACCAAAAAGAGTCTGGTGCTGTCCTCTTGGCACCTGCCTTTGAAACATTTATATGTATTAACTGGATCCCCTCTCAGCCTTCTGGACCAAACAGGCCCAGCTCCCACGGTCTCTCCTCTTAAGAGAGATGCTCCAGACGTCTCATCATCTTTGTGGCCTCCGCTGGACCCTCTCCCTTAGCTCCTTGTCCTTTTTGTCCTGAGGAGCCCAGGACCGGAACACGTTCCCCTGGAGCTCGGGGGCTGTCCAGGGCCGGACAGCGGTGCGCTCAAGGCACAGGTGCGCCCTGACACCCTGGGCGAGCCAAGAAAGCGCCGCACCCGCCGCGCGGGGCAGCGCCCGGGCCATCGCCCCGCTGACACGGGCGGGACACGCTCACCGCCCGGCACCGAGCCCGGCGCGGCCCCGGAGGCTCCCCGGGCCCCTCGGGCGGCAGGTCCGGGTCGCAGCCCGGTCCTTGGGGCGACCCTGCGCGGTGTCCCGCGGGCCGGAGCAGCCGGGCCCCGCAGGGCCCGGCGCGACGAGCCGCGACGAGCCCCGGCGACCGCGGGCCCCGCGCGGAGCCGCCGCCGCGGCCGCTTTCCCCCCGCGCCCCCCCGGGCCGGGTCTCACCTGGCGGGGGCGGCCCGGGCCCGTCAGCGCCGGCGGCCGCCGCCGCATTTCGAAAGATCCGCCATTTTCAGCCCGTCACCGCCGCTCCCGCCCCCGCCGCACCTGCCCCCGCCGCCCCGCCCCGGCGCCGCCCCGCAGAGCCGCCAACCCCGGCCCCTTCCGCACCGCCGGGTCCCGCGCAGACCCCGCTCCGAGGGGCAGCCTCGCCGCTCCCCGCGGCCCCTCTGACCGCGCCGCCCCGCCGCAGCTCCGGGCGCAGCTGCCCCCGGCGAGCGGCGGGGACGGGATGGGACGTGCCAGGCGGGCGCCCCTGCGGCGGAGGGGCGGCTGGGACCGGCCGGCCGCGCCATCCCGCGGGGGAGGCCGGTGGGGCCGCCCGGGAGCACGGCCCGCCGTGGGCAGAGCGCCCGGTGAGGCCGGGCCTGCTCCTTCCTGGCGGGAGGCGGCTGTCAGCCGTGCCCGGCACCCCCTTCCCCGTCCTCCCGCCGCCGCTTTCCCGCCCCTCGCACTCACCGGGCGGGCGGGTGCTCTCCCTCCTCCTGCGCTGGCGGTGCCTCTGCACGGTGCCGGCGCCCCCCCGGTGCCGCTCCCGGGGGCCGCGGCGGCGGCCGCGCCCGCGCCGATCCCGCCGCCGCGTTTGTTCAAAATCACGCGCCCCGCGCCATTCCCCCGCCGCATCCCATAATACTGCGCCGCGCCGCCCTGGCAACCGCCGGCGCAGCAGCGCCCCGCGCTTCCGGGACCCGCCCCGCCCCGCCGGCCGCTTCCGGGGCCGCGCGGGCGCCACCCGCGGGAAGAAGAAGAAGAAGAGGAGGAGGAAGAGGAGGCAGGGAGGAAGCCGCGGCCTTTCCCCGCGCGTGGGATTTGCGCGCGCGCGCCTGTCCCGTGGGATATCGCGCGCGGGGCCCGCCCGGCGCGGCCCCGTCCCGCTCCCGCTGCCCGCGCTCCTTCCCCCCCCCCAGTCACGTGACCGCCCCCGCCGCCGCGCGCGCGGCTCCATGGTGGGAGGAGGCGGTGGCGGCTCCCAAGATGGCGGCGGGCGCGGTGAGGCAGGACCTGGCGCAGCTCATGAACTCCAGCGGCTCCCACAAGGACCTGGCGGGAAAGTGAGTCGTCCCCGCGGCGGGGCCGAGGGGTGCGAGCCGGAGCGGGGTCGAGAGGGGGGCGCCGGGCCCTGGGAGGGACGAGGCGGGTCTTGCCCAGCGGCCGCGGTGCTTTAAATAAAAAGGACACGGAAAGATTTCGCCTCGTCGTTCTGTAATTTCTTCTTTTTGTTTGTTTACGGGCTCCTCGCGTGTCCGCCCGCCCCTCAGAGCTCGGCTGCTGTGCCACAGCGATAGGTCAGGGAGTTGATTTGCCCCGGCTGCCATAGATACGTCAACGACTCTACTATTGTTTTTATTAATAATTATTATTCTTTCTATTATTTTCATTATTATTATTTTATTATTTTGGACGGCAAACCTCGGGGGTTGAACTGCTCGCGGCGCGATGTGTCTCGTGGATTTTTACTCCCCCGGGACATGCGGATCGGCCACCTGGAATTCTTGGAGTCCCAGTCCAGTTGCTTGTGTTCTGGGGAGGCTGAGTCACTTTTAGGACCTGTGGTGTAAAACCAAGGAAATTCCCCCCCCAAAATGTGGCTTCAGCGTGAATGTAGCACTTCGTCAGTGTCGCACACGCTGAGGCGAAGTTTAATGAGCTCTAAGTTGCCATTTGTGCAGGAATAAGCACTTGAAAATGCACAGTCTGCGCTGTCCTCCTGTCAAGTGGATATAACATGCTGTTCACCCCTCACAACACTGCTTCTCAGTCTCACTGAATGTGGCATTTTGGACATTTTTTTCTTTATTAGGCTGAACCCATGAACGATAATAGTTTTCATTACTTTTTCTGTTCACTATACTAGGCATGTGATTATTATTTTTTTTTAAAACCTTCAAGATTGCGCATACATTCCCAGATAACATGATGAGCTATGTTGTCTGAGAATCTAGTCCTGGGATTTAAGAAGAGCCAGATATCAGTTCCAGGTGAATGTTCATGACCTTTGAGAACATATTCTTTGGAAAATTGCCACCTCAAGGCATAGAAAATATAAACAAAATTAAGGCTCTGACACAGAAAATAAGCAGAGAGGCAGAACTTCTTAGTGACAAAATGTGCCCTGTGAGTGATTTTTAACTTTTTTTCTTTTTCCAATCTTGGACAGATACCGTCAAATATTGGAAAAAGCCATTCAGCTGTCGGGTGTAGAACAACTTGAAGCTTTGAAAGCTTTTGTGGAAGCAAGTAAGTAGAATTGGTTACACGCTGAGTGAAGGCCAGAAGTCTGTGGGGTTGCATATTTGCAAGCTCTGCCTGAGGCTACATAAATACATGATGTTTGGGTCCTGTTGGAACTCGAACACAACAGGAAGAGGAACCATCATCACCTCATTCAGAAGTTCAGAGGGAATGGAATTATTAAGGGTTTTTTTGTGTTGTATTGGGTGTTTGGCTTATTGAACGCCTGTGTGAATTACACCTGTTTTAGTTCTTTTAGAGTTGAGAGTAAACTTAGTGAGACTAAGCCTAAAGGTTTACTTTGTCCAAGATATTTCAGCAACTGAGGACAGCGATTCAGCATGAAACACCTCCCTAAACTATAAATCGTAGTGAAAAATTCATTATTATGTGTCAGGGGTTAGAACTCTGGTGACCTGTAGTCAGTTTCTGAAAGAAAAAAAAAACCCACCTTTAAAAACAACCCCTTTCACTTGGATGCAGTTTTAAAAATTGGAATATTAAATTTATTCTAAAAGCAAATGATGGCTCATAGTGAAAGCACTGACAAATGTTGCATTTCTTTTGTGTCTGACCCAGTGGTGAATGAGAATGTCAGTCTGGTGATCTCACGTCAGCTGCTGACAGATTTCTGTACCCATCTTCCAAGTCTTCCTGACAGCACAGCCAAAGAAATCTACCACTTCACCTTGGAAAAGATACAGCCTAGAGTTATTTCATTTGAAGAGCAGGTGAGAGATCAATGTTGAGGAGGTTTTGGTTTGAGGGTTTGGCTTTGGTTCCTCTCCCCCCCTCCCCCTTATCTGCTGACTATTTTAAGCCTTTAAAAAAGCTGTTCAAAACAGATACTCCTACTTGGAGTCCAGTTTTGCGTTCCTGTACATGGAAAACTTGAGTTAAATGCAGAGAGTATTTAGGACTGTGCAAAGAATACAGACTTAGTCACTTCATAATGATGCCGGGCATGTAATTCCTCTGCTACCAGAAAATGGCTTCTTACAATGGAACAATACTTGAGCTTGGAGTTGCTGTTGAGAGACAGACTGGTACTTATTGTATTGCCTTCTGCCCCAGTACTGGGGCAGGCAGGTGATGTAAAGAGCATGCATCTTGACAGATAGCTTTTGTTTCGAAATAAACAACCTCTGTGTGTGTGTTCTGTTTAGCCATAGTCATTTTACCAGGAAAAAAATGTCGAAATCCCAGTTCTAGTTGACTGCTGAATGTGCTGCAGTTCTTTTCCAATTCAGTTCTGTGTTTTGCTGTACGAATGTGCATCATCATCTGAGAGGCTGTTTATCTAAAAAGCCTCTAGGATCTAGTGTTGAGAAGAAAGGCAAGGCAATTTCTGTCACGATTTATATTTTCTTCTCTTTATCTGTTGTATTTTTAAGCAGCTTTAAGTCTGAGCTGAATATGCTTGCTTCTTGTTGTCATGATTATGCAGAAATTAAATCCAAGACATCTGATGATTTCTTTTTTTTACCCACACTTCTACTTCTAAAACCTGGGCTGTAAGCACTGAAATTTTACCTGCTGACAGCTGCCCTACAAAGCAGAAGTTTCTGCAGTAGGATCTAATTGTAGTTCACTTCATTCATGTCTCACAGGCATGATATGAGGTGTAACTGCAACAAATGGCTTGTGAATCTTGGTGCTCCTGTTCTTGAAAGATTCGTTTCATCTTTTTAAAAGCTTTATAAATGGTTACTACTTGTCACTCCCTGATGATGAACTCTTTTTATGTTGTCAGAAACTGAAGTGGACGTGCTTCAAACCAGCACTCATATTTAAAAAGCTTGGTATTAAAACTTGATCCAAGAGTCCCACACAGGACTCCTTGCATGGGAAGAGTTGCACGTGTGCAGGTTGCTGTGTCTGTGAAGGTGGGGTGTAGGTTGAGGGGATTCAGGAAGAAGAACAAATACTGTGACAGTTAATCCAGAACCATTAAACTCTTATAGTTTCTGCTACTGATTTTATTGTTCCTTAGGTCGCTTCAATAAGGCAACATCTTGCATCGATCTATGAGAAAGAAGAAGACTGGAGAAATGCAGCACAAGTGTTGGTGGGGATCCCTTTGGAAACAGGGCAAAAGTATGTTGCACACAGTTCTATGCTGTTACATGTACTTTGCTCTCTTTGTACTTAACTAGATCAGTGAGTGAGAATTTTTGGGTTGCATATTTTCCCAGAGCTACTGTAATTCAGGCCAGAACTGCTGTCAGATGACAGAAGTATAGCTTGATGACTGTACATTACAGTAGGAGTTTAGTGGGTCAAAATGCTACATCAGAAGTTATGCACTATTAATTAGTCTTGTTGATAAACAATTCTTTTTACTAGTATTTTGCAAACATGCTTCTAAGGTTATGGAAAGGTTCTTGAAAGGTGGCAGTTCCTCCATGTGTCCACTTTCTCAGTTCACAATGAAGACACAGTTTGAAATGGGATATTAACAAATACATTAGAGGGTTCTTTCAGGTGTTTGTGGGGTGGGTTTGGTTTGGTTTTTTGGATTTAGAAGCCTTGCTGTTACTTTTCTCTGGTTATCCTTCCTATCCTCTTTCTCTGCATGCAGAAGGAACTGCTGTAGGCTTTGCACTACAAGTTTGCTTCTTAACTCAAATGGCTCACCACTTGTGGCAGACTTCCAATCCACAAAAATCAGATTATTAGCGTGTACATTTGTGTCTTGGTGGACAGCATTATTTCTACTGCTGTTTGTAGGGGCAAGTTCTATATTAGCATTCATCTCAAATTTCCTTACACTGAACAGAGGGCGCTAATTTTGG